CCAAATTATTCTTTGTCTTGTGTGGTGGGAGAGCGGGGAACTAGGGGGGAGTTGGGAGTACGGGGTAGGCATATGTGCAATTGTTGTTTGTTTGTTTGTTTGTTTTGGGAAAGGGTCTCACTATGTAACTCTGGCTGTCCTGGAACTCACTGTGTAGACCAGGTGGGTCTTGAACTCAGAGATCCACTGATGCCCTGTCTCCCAATTTCTGGAATTAAAGGTGTGTACCACCACAGGGGCCCAAAGCAGTCTTAAGTGTTTGCTCTTCCATTCTCATTGCCACCACTGCTGTTCAAGTCCTCATTATATGGATTTCCCTTGAAGTGGTTTTTAATTTCTATTCATACATGTCAGTTCATTAAACCTTTAATTAAGTAATTTGCCTCAAAGGATGCAAGGTCCCCAATTCCATAAATGAAAAATGGAAAAAAGCAACAGCTCAGGAGCTGGAACAGGAGGCTGGCAGTCTGGACATCTCACTGAGGCTTGAGGAAAGGTAATGCTTAGTAAGCACCAAGACACAGAAGCTCATCACGGAGAACAGCAGAGCTGATCACGTGACTGGAGTGGCCTGGCCATCTTGTGGTGTGAGACCAGACACTCCTACAGGTGCTGTGTGGGGCTCCACAGCTTTAGCAGAGTGTGAGCTTAAGGGCCGTACCTGAGAGGCTGTTTAGTTCAGTCCTACTCGTCTTCACCTCATTGAGTAGCTGATCTCGCTCTTGTCTGATGTCCTTCACTGCTCGGAGCCGCTCGGAGCCCGCGTTCACCAGCTTCACCTTTTCCAGTTCTAAGTCACTCACTCTGGCTTCAAGTTCCCGGATCTTTGCATCTTTTTTATCCTTTAAAATCTGTTTATGACAAATACAAAGTAGAGTGAAGGGGGTAAAAGAATATGTACATGTAAAATAAAAAGCTAGTCTCATTAATAGCCTGTCTACTTCTAATTTTATCAGTACTTCTAAGGACACTCACTAATCTTGTGGTAAAATTACATGAGAAGCAACTTAGGGTTTATGTGTGGGTGGTACTTTGGCTTCCAGTTTCTGAGGATACATGATGACCAGAGGGCATGGGAGCTGGCACATCTCAGTCCACAGTGGCAGGGATGAGCTGTGTGGCTTCCTCACATCTTGGCATATCACAGAGCAGAGAGCTCAGGCCAGACCCGAAAGCAGATATTACCTTCAAGAGCCACCTCCGAGCTGGGTGCAGTGACACACAGCTGTGATTCCAGCACCAAGGAGGCAGAGGCAGGCAAATCTCTGTGAGTTCAAGGCCAGGACAGCCAAGGTTACACAGAGAAACCCTGTCTAAAAAAAAAAAAAGAGCCTCCAAGCACTCATTTCTGGTGGCTAAGTCCTAGTCCCAAAGGCTTTACAACATCCAAAATATCACTATCAATTGGAGGCAAGCACTCAAGCCATCAGCCTGTGGAGGACATTCCAAATTCAAACCATAACGCTTGGCAAAATGAAAAAGCAGTGGGCCACAGCCCAGAAAAGGCGTGTTCAAATACATAAGCCTGCAGGGACATTTTCCTTTCATTCAAAGTATAACAACACTAAATTTGGATTTGAACATCAAACATCACTGTAAATGGTAAAGAAAGAGAAAAGAAGAAACCCTATTTCACTGTTCTTTTAGACTTAGGTGTCTGTTCCCAGCACCACTTGCCATAACCCTTAACTTCTCCTGTTCTCTATTCATTCATAGTTTGCAGTGAGTAGTATTTCATATGTTAGGGATACACAGAGAGCGAGGACCAAGAAAGCCTGGGTGTGAGGGCTCTACCTTAGGCTTCTCTTGCCTTACTCAAGTCCTAAGCCTGAAAACCACCCAAATGACAGCTTGCTCTGGCTCTTCCTTTAGTGAAGAAGAGACCTCGAACAATTTTGTGACATATCAAGAGACTGGGAGGGAGGGGGATGGGTTTGAGGAAGGGGGATGGTGTAAGGGAGGGGGATGGACGTGAGGGAGGGAAATGGGTTTGAGGGAGGGGGATGGATATGAGGGAGGGTGATGGTGTGAGGAAGGGGGATGGGTGTGAGGGGAGGGGCTGCCTGTTGCTGCTGGTCAAGCCTGCTCACAAGGCTGGCCCTTGGCTATCATTTAGGGATCCATGAAAGCTCTGACACCTAGCTGGTGAGAATAGCTCATTGTATCTACACTGTTCCTGTGAACTGTGTGGTCATGCTGAACACTGGCTTCCCTTCTTGGAGATATGAATGTGGACCCTCCCAGGTAAAAGGCACCTACTCCATGAGCCTCCATCAACTGTCCTGGGTCGGAGTCCTCGATAAACTTCTCTGTGGGCAGCACTGGAGTCCTCACAATTTCTTACTGGGGGAGTTGAGTGAATACTGGGCTAGGAAGTGACTCCTCGAAGCTGGTTTTCACCGGGCTTCACCCCGTTGCCTTCTCCCTTTGCTAACTATTATTGTTTGAATTTGGGGCTCCCTCCATTGGCTCATTGTTTGGATGTTTGTTGCCTAGCTGGCAGTGCTATTTTGAGTCCCTGTGAAGCCTTTCTAAGACAGGGCCTCCTTAATGGAAACAGATCACAAGGACAAGCCTTTGAAGGTTGCACTCTGCTTGCTGATCTACATAGTAAGTTCCAGACCAGCCACAGTTACATAGTGAAGACTCTGCCGCAAAAGAAAAAGACCAGATTTCGTGTTATATGATGCATGCTTGGAATCCCAGAACTTGGCGGAATGATCACTGCAAGTCTGAGGCTAGCCTGAGCCCCCATGAGTTAGTCATGAATGACTAAGATGTATGCCCTGCTCTCTGATGTCACTTGTGCAGCAAAGAGACTCATCATTCAGACACACGCAGTGCAATACAGAAGTGACCAGAACAAAAAATTTGGCAGCCAACTCGCCCACCCCCCCCCCCCCCCCCCCCCCCTCAGACCTTAAACTCCTGCAGTTCAAGCTTGCGGTCATTGATCTCTTTCTCTAGCTGAGTCTTTTCCACTTGCATCGCCCCAGCGGTTCGTCCATGCTGGCCAACCAGCTGCGTCATGTTCTCGATCTGCTGCCGCAAAATCTCAATGACCTTGTCCTTCTCCGCCATCTGGAGTTTGAGCGCCTCACACTCTGTCTGCACGTTCCTCAGGTGGTCCCCCTCATTCTTCAGGTGCTGGAGCTCCTGTAACTTCAGGTCGACCCGAGAGCGGAGCTTAGTGATCTCTGCATTGGTGGCCTCGATGGCTCGCTCCTTCTCCTGGAGGGAAGCGGTCAGGTCAGACACTGTCCTCTCAGAGCTCTCAAGGGTCATCTTCTTGGCTGTCAGCTCTTCCACCACCTTGCGAAGCATCTCCTTGGTGGATTCGAGCTGTGCAGTGAGGGAGGACACTTTCTCCAGGCTCTCATTCTTCCCCTGAATGGCTGCCATCTATGGTCAAAGAAAGTTTTATCGTTTGGGGGGAAGAGGGGGGGTGGGGGATACAGGCAAGTTAACTCAAAGCATGAAATCCTGAACAGTCCGGACTGCCTAATTTAAATCATTTTGCTGTCAGAACGTAAGGGCACTTATGCATGTGTATGCATGTCCCCCCCCCCGCCCCCCAGGAGGCCACTTGGCAATGGCGCAGCCTGCGATCTCTCACCTGCCGCTCCATCTGGCCCTGACACTCGCTCTTCATGGCCTTGAGCAGGGCCTCCAGCCTCTGCACCTCCATGTTCCTGTCGTCCAGCTCCCGCCGGAGGTGGTCGATGGTGATGCTGTTGCCTGTGTCACGGTCCCACAGGCGCTTGTTCTGCTCCTTCTCCAGGCTCAGTTCCTTCTCCCTCTTGTGGAGATCTGCCTAAAAGAAGTGAGAACGCTCTTTCTCCCATCCACCCAGCCACCGTCCAGTCCTGCCATCAGATCAAACCCTTCTGTCTGCCTTCTGGTCTAGAGCTGTGTGAGCTGAGGAGCCTTTGACTACGGAAAGCGATTGCTTTTCAACAGCTTAACTAAGAGTGATTAGTTCCTAAAAAAATACTCTAATATTTTGCTTAAAGGTTTTAGTTGGTCTAGGAGTAGCATCTCACACCTGTAATGTACCTTTGGGAAGTGCGTAATTTGTGTTTTGAGTGTTATTTTGCTTCAAAATGAACACATCGCTTCTTGAATTTAGTAGATGGCAGTTCTAACTCAAAGACTGTGGCTACTTGAAGGCCTACCTACAGTATCTAACAGCCAGGCCTAAGGAGAAAGACCCAGAGAATACAATATCTTATTTAAAACACGTGAACTGTATAGACTGATATTCCGTGTGTGTGTATAACCAGTCTATAAAATCTGTAATTTTATAATGTAAACTAGTTTGTGAAATGCACTGAAAACCTTCCCAGGTTCCAAACTGAGTGCTTTAGAGCAAAGTCTCACCAACAGCTTCTGGAGCTGGTCATCCAGGTTTCCTGACTCCTGACTGAACTGGTCCCGTTCTGTGCGTGCCTCGGTGAGCTCGGAATTGGCCAGGACTAACTGCTTCTCCAGCTCTTCTATCTGGAAGACAAGCTCAAGTCAGACAAATGCAGCCCAGATCTGCAGTGCCAGAACACAAAGCCTTATGGGAACAGATGGTGCTCCTTGAGAGGCGAAACAAAAAGATCTTAGACGTTTGCAGGGTTTTCTAACCTTAGCTCCACAGGAGTTAGCATGGGCATTAGTCAAAATGAGGTCCTTGGTATTGCTGTGTCTGGGCACAGTACGCTGTGCTTTTAGTGCTCAGAATGTAGCTTCTGTGGAGACATGCTCTTCTGTGGCATAAACAATGTGCTGGAGACTCCAGACGAATGAACCTCAGAATACTGAGAAGAGCTATGTTGCTTTTGAGCATCAGCGGCTCCGGTGGGCGTGGTGACACACACCTTTTATCCCAGCATATAGGAGGCAGAGGCAGGTGAACCTCTGTGAGCTTAAGGCCAGTCTGGTCTACAGAGTGAGTTCTAGGACAGCCAGGGCTACAGTGAGACCCTGTCTTGAGAAAACCAAACACACACACACACACACACACACACACACACACACATAAACACACATCACACAATATCAGAGTCTCAATAAGATACTGAGTACAAAAGAATAAATAAGGATAGTCTGCCTGTTGTCATTACAGTGCCATATTTCAAAAGAATGAGTGAATATATATTTGAATTAGAATATTGGGCAAGTTAAGCATTCAAAACTTCATTTTCTTCAACTACAAACAGGAATGAGAACCAACTTTAAAGAATATATTTTTTCTTCAGTTAGGACAACTGTTTGTCTGAATAAAGAGAAATTTAGTTCACTGAACCAATGATATCACACAGAGTGATGCCATTTCCTTCCACAAATAAGACCAGCTCATGCTGGTCTTCAGGACACAGGCTGCTTCAGGACTGCAAATGGTCCTACAGCCCTCAGCACAGGCTGAGTGGAGATCCCATGCTGTGGAGACTTTGGGTTCTGATTTGAGTGAAGCCTCACAATATCAAAACTTACATAAGGAACCATTTCATAAGAACATATCAATACTTAGTGCTATGCAATGAAACCCCACCCATAACTATGACTATTTTATCATCCAACTTCTAGAATTCAAAAAGCTTTCAGTTTGGCATAAATGCTACACCTTTCTTATTTCTAAGGTATATCAAATAGGCTGGAGAATTTGAGTCAAGCCAGGTATGGTGGTACATTCCTGTAATCCCAGCACTCTGGGAGGCAGAGGCCGACGGATCTCTGTGAATTTGAGGCCAGCCTGGTCTACAAAGTTAGTCCAGGACAGCCAAGGTACACAGAGAAACCCTGTCTAGAGAAGAAGAAGAAGATGAAGAAGAAGAAGAAGAAGAAGAAGAAGAAGAAGAAGAAGAAGAAGAAGGAAGAAAATTTGAGTCTTAGCTTGGATGTGATCAAGCCTTATAACTGGAAAACATATGACCAAGACAAACTTTTTCTTCATAAATTTTTATTTTTACTTGGAACAGATTCATTGAAAAAGTCTTCATTTATTAAACCAATATACAGTCAATAATCATTTTACATATATATATACACATATGTAGCTAACTCCTTGACAAATAAGCATAAATGTGTATCTATTTACATGTGCACATAAATGACTTAAGGTGCTAATGTACAACTATCACACAATTATGCATTTGTCTATAGTGTAGTATCAGTGTCTACAGGATTTAGAATGTAAAGAATTAATGGATTGCTGGCCTGGACTCCTGTACCTTGTTAGGATGTGTTTTGAACTGGGGCTAGAGGTCAGTGGAAGCGTGCCTGCTAGATTCCATCCCTATTGCCAAAAATAAAATAAAATAAAGCCCCAACACAAACACAATAAGAAAAGCTTCATTCTTATGCTCCTTTTGAGGGCATATCTAGAGATAACATGAAAATGTAACCTCTGTAACACAAGTGACTTCTGAGAGAGTGAATTATCAGCTGATCTAATCTTTTCTACCCTGTCATTATGAGGAAGGCCTGAGTCAGCACACTTGGGGGAGAACAAGAACGCTCAGGTAGAAGCCACCACATTTTCCTGTTGTCCCAGGGCAATCCTACAGGCCTAGCAGGATCAGGGAGACTGTGCTGGGTTCCGGCTGAGCTTCCGTCATAGGCTGCCCTGCCTCCATTTTGCTAAGGTACAACTTTTTAAAGTATTCTAGATGGTTTCTCGTGTTCCCTTCAATTCTGTTTCTTCACTTCTTAAAAAAAAATATTTTTTTTTTACTTATTCTTTAAATTTTTCATGATTTATAAGAACAGTATCAAAAAAAGTTTAGATTCTATATTTTCTGTCCTTTTGGACCAATAAATTTAACAAGAATCTTTCAGTTTGAATTGTGAGTAAAGCAAACACTTTCTACTCCTAGCTTGGCACAAGCCATTTTCATCCTTGAGCAAAGAACTGCTTATATATGTTCTTTAAAAATTGGTCTGTTTTAGCAAAACAAAAACAAAACAGCCTGGCTCTTTCATAATATCAAACTTAATAATAACATCTGAGACCAAAACTGGAGAGAGAGAGAAGAGGGAGGGAAGAAGGGTCTTTTCTGTTCCCACTCTCAGAGCCCCCAGACCCCTGCAGGATCCTAGTTTTGCAGTTGTCAGTACTGACTCAGCTGCTATAGCTCTGCTTTTACCTTTCACTTTTTAAAGTAAAAACATCTGTATGCATTAATCCATCAAATCAATAAATGGACAGTGAAAGGGAAAACCATGGGCGTAGCAGCTGGGCTGATACAAACAGCTATAAAAAGAAAACACTGCAAAGGAAAGCCTTTGGAGTGTCCAGGGAACACTGACGCCTGACAGACGTAAAGGTTTTCTCTCTCTTTTCTTTTTATATGGCAGCACTGGTTTTCCCTTTTCACCATCCATGGACAGACTCTTTTTGGTTTTGGATCAATACAAATCAGTACAAGGGTTTTATTCTAATTTCACTGATTTTAAGGGTATTAGCCAATCACACTGGATCTATGCTTTTTGTTTTTACGGTGATGGTTTTGCTCTGATTCTGTGCTCAAAAAGACACAGATGTGGCCCAAGAAGGGCGTCATGCCTCAGCGTGAAGCCTCACAGAACTCTGCGAAGCTTTTGCACACTCTGCCAGCATAGTGGACAGCTCTAGCCAGTGCTACTAAGTCTTCACAATGGACTAGGAAACCCAGCCCCAACTACTTTCAAAAGAAAATCAACTTAGAGCCAAGATAGTAATATAGTTTTTGTTGTCAAAAAGCGAAAGTTAAGAGTAAAGCCAAGTCTACAGAGCCAATAGTGACAGCTTCTACTGGTCCAGATTCATAAAGGGGAATTCTGGAGGCTCTCCTAAATGGAAAGAAAAGAATAGAAGACAGCATTATAGTAAAACACTTTTATCAGCTCTTAAAAGGCTACATCTAAGATTTTCTTAAAAATACAATTTCTACTTTCACCAATATGAAATACTTTTTGTTAACCTGAAAAAAAATTATCCTCCATAATGGATTTTTTCTGAATTTACATACTCAAGGTAGAAAAGTTTTTCAGGCCTACCAAAAACATCTTTTGTTTTTAAGGCAGTCTCATGTACCCCAGGCTGGTCTTATACTCAATATGTACCCAAGGAAAACCTTGAACCTCTGATCACCCTACCCCTACTTCCTGATTACTGTATTTCAGGCATGTGCTACTCTGTCAGGTATGTGCTGGGGGTTGACTCAGGACTAAGTATGCTAAGCAGGCACTCCACCAACTGAGCTCTATCCCCAGCCTTTATGTATTATTTTCATTGATTTTTCCCTTGGTTTTTGAACATTATATACCAAGATCTGCACTGAAACAGTGAAAGAGAAAATATATATTAAGATTTTAGCAATGTGAAGTCACAGTACATGAAAATGAAACAAACTATGCACAAGAATATGCTTTTTAAATCCTATATCCAATTCTTCATGACATAAGCATTTCATAATAGAATAGTTTGTGCTCATCCAAATCAAATCCTCGTTGTTAACCTGCCTGATTTTGTTGCTCGGTTAGATCAAGTATTACTAAGACTCCAGGACAGAGCGTGTTCAACTCTGTATTAGCATGTACTGCCCAGCTAATGCAGCTGGAGCTGCTTCCTCTGGAGAGCACACTTAACCACCATCAGCTCCAAATCTCTTAGGCTCACTGTGACTTATTTTATCAATATTTTACTGATCTGATTGAAACTGATATGCCCCTTCCCTTTTATGAGATAGCATCTCACAATGTAGCTCAAGCGGGCCTTGAATGTGTGATCCTCCTAAATCAGCCTCCCATGTGCTGGCTGCCCTCCTCGTTTAGTATTTGCTATTTAAGATTGTCAAGTCTTGGAGATCCATTATTTACATTAGAGCACATTAAGACAATGGCCCTAGTATGTCAACATGATATAGTAGACCAGATAAATAAGCGAACTGGATGAAGCTTATGACGAAATAGTTTTTCCAAGCTATAATATAATGGACAGCCGTAGTAAGTACAAGTTATATAAGAAAACATAGGTGAATGGAGCTTAATTGAGTAGTTTGTGACTTTTGGGCAGCTGATGTCAGTAAATATCTGTCTTTTCAAGATGGTTCCAACAGTCATCAATAACAGTTGTTGTCCTGGAGGATAATACAATACTCGTCTGTCAGATTCTCATACCACATCCTCCAGGTATAAGGCATGGAAACAGGAACACCCTTCTGTTCTGGCTTCATAGGGAGCTCATGTCCTCTGTATAGGCTCGGTGTGTCTACAGGGGATAATCATCCTCAAGAGAAAGAAACCAGAACACAACAGTGTGCCTTTCTGGGCTTTTGGTGTTGGAGCTGAGCTTTACAGCAGTGAGGTCCTTCTTGGGTCCCAAGGGCTGCTTCCAGGTAACAGTGATTGAAAGGATTTTGCCTTCAGGCTAAGAGCTATGCAGGGAGGCTTACAGAGGAGGATGTTATTCAAACATCTAAACCCCTAATCAACCATAAGACTAGTTTAGTGATCTTAAAGTCAACATCTTAAGATGAGAAAATATCACTGTTTGTTTGTTTGTTTTTTCTTTTTGTTTTTGAGACAGGGTTTTCTCTATGTGGCTCTAGCTGTCCTGGACTCACTTTGTAGACCATGCTGGCCTCAAACTCAAGAGATCTGCCTGCCTCTGCCTTTCCCAAGTCCTGGGATCATGGTTTATTTGCTTGTTTGTTTTTCTTTCACATCACATCTAATAGAGGTAAATAGTTTTGTTGCTTCAGCTGTATGTGTAACTGGATGGACTACCTTTCTGTAAGCACTAATCAAAATGTTTCGAAGACACTGCAGTGGAAAACTCCATGTACTAAGAGTCTTCTCTGCTGACTTTAATAAAGCCACATCACATTTTCCTTCTCTTGCTACAGGGTTAATTTACATAGTGGAGACAAGAAAGACAGCGCCTTCCTGTGGTCCTCACTGAGTGACAGTGGACATTAACCTGCCTT